CTACTACTACTACTACTACTAAGCTAGGATCATGTATCTGACGCTACACTTTTTCCTCACTTTGCGGCATTGAGCGTGTGGTTTTCGCGCGCTTTACAAGAAAGTCTCCAGCGTAGATTTACTCACTTATGTGGTTCGAACTTAGTTGTTTATTTCAAACCCAATTCATCGTAGTACTTTTAAGAAGAACAATAAGAATCTAAGAATCAGCAAACATAGCAATAAGAAGATAACAGCAATTTGTGAGATTGGCTTCTTTGCGAGGCCTGGGGGCATTCACAGCTCGTCAGTCCATGGGCAGAAGTGGTGATCGAGGCCACCATGGAGATTTCTGGGTTCAGGGGACGAGAGTTTCGGGTTTCCAGGCCTGAAACCCATCTAAACCACCAGTTACCGAACAGGAAGCAGCCGTCCGTTTCAGGCGGAGCACGAGCCTGGCGTGTGGGTTGTGGAGATCGACCCCTCCGAGGCAGATCGCATTCGGGAGCAGGCGAGCGGGTGCTTGAAGAAGTCTTTTGCAGATTGGTTTTCTTGCAGATTGGTTTTCTTGGAGGTATTCTGAACCCAACACCCCGAACTCTGCTCCCTTCTTTGCCGGTCTGGAGGTTCCAACCTCGTACCAGAAACGAGGTGATCTTTATGCGCCTTATGCGCTCCTCGGCTGTAGCTTGTCCCTATTTGTTTGATTGCAAACAGGTCTGCGCAGCTAAGGCAGCTGGAGGACACCAAGCGGCGACGTGGTGAGAGCTCCCTGTGAGCCACTTCGCTAGGACCGTTAGGCTTGCGTGATTTTCCAAACTGCACCAGTCACATAGTCTTGAGGATGCGAAAACAGGTCGCCTCGGGCGAACAGCTGCGGGTGTCGCGCTGATTCCTTGCTGCCAGCGGGTGCTCAGGAAGATTTGAAACATAGATGGGAGTCGAGAAATGCACACGCAATGTGCAGGGCTAAGTGACGGCTTGACGGGTTCTGAAGCAGGGCAGGGGAGTTGAGCATGGATATGCCCAGTGGTTCTTCACATCAGCTGCCGGTTGGGCCATGGACGCAAATGGCCTGGGCGTGGACGGTCGTCTGTCTTTCTGCATCTCGATGCAGAAATCTGCGACATGACGCGTTTTGTTTCGTCTGTTGGGTCGGGCTCTGCGAAGCCAAATGCACCAAGGTCCAGCGCTTCGTTGCTGCCGTTTCTGTCTTCATCTTTGGACACACCGGATAGGATTGAAGAAGCCTCCAGCAGAAGCATCACATGGTGCTGTGCATGTTTGAAAGCTTGTGCGATAGAAGACAAGTGCAGACCAGCGACGCGTCCAGCATGCTTCGTCCAGCATCACCATAATACAGACATGCCGCGGGGCCCTACAGGCCCGGCCGGATTCTTTGCGTCGGGGTTTCTTGGGGTACACACAGACTCAAGGAGCAGGGGCCTTGATTGCCGTAGCTCAGGTTGAGCTGGCCCGACGAAATACTTCCACGAGTATGGCGAGAGGCTGCCCTTGCCAGGCCGATTCGAGACAGACGCAAAACTCTAAACCTTCTTGCTGTGGGCTTGCGATGAAGGAGCCCAAACTCTCTGAACCCTGGCTGTGGCTCAAGGTGAGGTGTAGACACAGATCTAAAGTTGCTGAGGCTGAGCGTAGTCGCCTCATTCAGCGCAGGGTGTGTGCGATTATGGCAGGCAAGAAGGTCGTTGTG